CTAACTTACAGACATTTCTCAGACAAAGAAGTAAAAGCAGCAAGTAAATATATGAAAAAATGCTCCACATCACTGGTCATTTGAGAGATGCAGATGAAAACAATACTGAGATTCCACCTCACCCCACAAAGAATGTATGCTATCAAGAAATCACACAATAGCAAATGTTGGCAGGGTTGTGGAGAGAAAGGAACCCTTCTCCATTGTTGGTGGGATTGCAGACTGGTGTAACCACTGTGGAAATCAATATGGAGATACCTCAAAGAGCTTGGACTAGAGGTTCCATTTGACCCAGCCATCCCTCTGTTGGGTATCTTTCCAAAAGAACTAAAAGAATCATATCACAGTGATATATGCACACCCATGTTTATAGCGGCACAGTTTGTAATAGCTAAATCTTGGAAACAGCCCATTTGCCCATCCGTTGGAAACTGGATAAAGAAGATGTGGTTTTTCTATAAAATGGAATACTACTCAGCCATAAAGAATGAGAAAATAGATTCATTCATAGGAAAATGGATACATATTGCAGATATGCTCCTAAGTGAAATAAATAAGTCACACATGTGTAAATACCAAATAGTTTCTCTGGTGTGAATAAACTGCAATAATACATAAGATCCTAATAAGATTACTGACATTGTGAAATGGGAAGAAAGGGACTAAAGGTGTAGGGAAGGTGGGATGGGTAGAAGGGTAATAAGGGAAAAGAAAAAAATGTGAGATAATGAAAAGTTGGAAATAAAGTGTTTGTAGATGGGGAGGGAAGGAGGGGATGAAGGGAGGGCAGGGACAAGGGGAAAAAATGAGAACCAAGACCTGTCATGTAGAGGTACAAGATCCCAACAATGAATGTAACTGTATTGTATCTATAAAATGTACCAATAAACTCAATTAAAGCTGAAAAAAAAAAACAATATGGGGATCCCAGCCCCTTCCTATCTCTTTGCTTCCCATTCTCCATGAAGGAATAGCTCTACCCCCTGCCTCCCATGATACACTGCCCTGCCACAGGCCCAAAGCAAAGGGGACAAGCAACCATGAACTGAAACATCTGTAACCATGAGCCAAGTAAATCTTTAATCCTTGTATCTTGGGTATTTTGACACAAGAAGCCTAACACAGGTATTAAGCACAGATGTGGCATTACTGGTTTATGATTTATAAAGCCCATTTTGGAGGCTGGGAACACTGGGGTGGGGGTGTATAAGTAGAAAGACCAGTTGCAAAGCAGGTGAAAGATGACAGCTTAGTCTACGGGCATAGAAGTAGAAATCATAAAAAATGGCTGATCTGGGGATATAGATTGGAAAATAAAACTGACAGGACTTGATAACGTACTGGATGCAGTGTTTTAGCAGGGGAAAGTGGGGGGAGGCGGGGATTTAGGGATGAAGACAAAGCTTTCGCCTAAGTACCTGAGCAGATGGCGATGTCATCAAATAAGATGGGGGGAAACTGGAAGATAAGCAGTTTGTAGGGGGACGGGAGGTCTGTGGAAAAGTCAACTATTCTACCTGGTCATGTTATTTTTCAAAGGCTTGCCATGTTTAAGTGAAAACATTGATGCAGGGCGTGGTGGCGCACACCTGTAATCCCAGCACTCAGGAGGCTAAAGCAGGAGGACTGCTGTGAGTTCAAGGCCAGCCTGGGCTACATAGTAAACTCAAGGACAGCCTGAACTGCAAAAGAGAGATCCTATCTCAAAAAAAAAAGAGAGAGAGAAAACATTGGACAGGTAGTATCTTAGTTACTTTTCTCATTGATGATACAAAATATCCAACACCCACAAGTGGAGGGAGAAAATGTTTACTTCAGTTTATAGTTTGTAGATGTTTCAGTCCAGTTGACTGGCTCCACAGCAGGGTTTCATGGCAGAGGCCACTGCAGAAGAGCAACCAGTATCAGCCCTCCAGTTCATTCCATTTTAACCCACTCACCAGACTATAAGGCTTTTGTGTAGTACCACCCACACCCAGGGTAGGCCTTCCCATTTCCACACCCAGATATATGCCAAACCAATTAGTAACTAATTTAGTCATATACCCTTAATCCATATTCACACACCCTTAATCCACTTTCACACACTGCTAGATCCAGCCATCTCTGAAAGCTCCACCTATAAGCACATGAGGCTTTGGGGGAAAATCTAGATACAAGCCATAACAGGTAGTTATCTGATTTTATATCTAAGGGGAGAGGTCCAGGCTGGAGATATTTCCAAACAAGGGCCAAGATAAGATCACCAGTGATTAAAACTAGAAATACAGGAAGGTAAAGAGTTAGATATCAAGGTATGGGGAGATATGTGATGTGAAAAGGAAAATGCCTGCTGAGCAGAGAGGGAAGTTGGTCAGGGAAAAGTTTCATAAAATAATTCTTTCCAAGCTTCTAGAATCTATGGAACACCTGAAGGATGCTGACCTAGGGAGGTGATTTGCAGTTGGTTACACCGCTAATGATCTGACTGTAACATGGGTTTTACACTTCACTTTAAATCAAATGTGTTACAAGGCAGCAGAGCCAAATACCTAGAAAAACTGGCTCCAGTTTCTTTCTGGTTGAGTTCAAACTCTGGCTCTGCCACATACTAGTTGGGTGACTCTACACACATTACTCAACATTTCTGTACTCACCTCTAAATGGGCATGCTACCAACAGCTAACTGGGTATGGATTGTTTACTAAGACTTTATGTGCATTATTCAAATCCCTCTCTAATAATCAATGAGTTGAGTGACATTATTACCTCCATTTTATGCCACGACCACTCCAGTAGAGTCTGCGTGACAATGCCGGTCACCTGGCAGAAACCAGACCAGAGGTATCGTCCCCACGGGGTTAAGCCTCCTGGAAGTCCTTGGCACACACCGCATGCGAAGTCAGCCGTGAAGAGAATAGCTGGCCTCTCTGCCTGCAGTTTGGGGACATTGGGTTCATTTGTAATTCTGTTCTATTTTGTCTTTATTACTATTTGTTCATTATCTGTAGAATTGTATTCTGGGCCCAGGAAAGGTTAGGAACAATTAGATGTTCCTAGAGATGTGGAGATATTGAGGCACAAGAGGACGGGCGGCCGAAGTGCTGACCCTGAGCCCCGAAGTCCTGAAGGTGAACCTGAAGGTGACATGCTAAAGCCAGTCCTTTGTCTTACAAACTTCCCCTTCTGACTGCGTATAGGTGTGGTCTTACCTTGACTTAATGGTCTTAGCTTTTGTGATGGTATATAGGTGTGGTCTTACCTTGGTAGTTTTTACAGTACTATTGTCTATCTTTCTCATGCCTGCCTGTGACTGAAATCACTCTTGAGGTGTGGTGTGCCCTTGAAACTAGTATATAAACACCTGGAGTTAGAAATAAAATCGCAGTAGCATTTGCAAACTTCACCTCGGTGTTGACTGCTTTTGTCTGACTGTCATCGCCGAACCTGCTCCCACCTTTCAGAGAACCTGTATCTCCTCGTGAAATCCCGTGTTTGCTGCCCTACAGTCGGTAGCAATTTTACTGTTAAGGAAACGGAAGTACATTCTCGCAATACACTAACATTTACTATGTGACAAGCATGTTTCTCAGGTGCAGGGTATCGGTAAACAAAACGAAATTCATGCCTTCGTTTAGCTTCAGTCTGTGATTAAAGAAAGATGACAAACATAATAAATATGTACATTATATGGTAATCGCATGATAAATGCTAAAGAAAAAAATACAGCAGGGTAACGAAACTGGAGATGCTGCGATTTTAGAGTAGCCAGGATAGACTTCACAGAGAAGGCGACATTGGAGCAAAGATTAATTAGGACAGCCGCGACAACAAGGGTTAAGCAAAGGCCTTGCGGGGCACGTAGGCCAACTCCACGCCGGAGGAGGGCAAGGCGAGGCGGTGAAAGGCGCCAGGCTGATTGATGCAGTCTGAGAAATCAAGACTTCTCCTCTCTAGGTGAATTGGGAACCAGTGGACAGTTCTGCCCAGGGGAGTGACTTGACCTCCGTTTTAAATCTGTTCTTCTGTTTAGGCCCAACATCCCAAGGCCAGTGAGAGAACACAAAACTTGAACCTGGGCAGGCCCGCGGTGTCGTCGGTGCGCCAGATGAAAGAATCGGCCGACGACTGTGGTTACCAAGAGCCTTTCCCTCAAACTACGCCCGTCTACCCGGCTGCAACTCCTGTGCTCCAGGCTCTGCATCCACTCACTCAGGTCTCCACGTAACCCTTCGCAAAATAGATTGCGCAACACGCGCAGCTAGCCGGAGTCTGGACGTAGGCGGGGCAGCTGCGAGCGGAGAGTAAAGCCGGCGGTAGACGAGTGCCGCCGACGCACCCGGTGTGCGCCTGCGCTCATCCGATCCTGGCCGCCAACATTCCTAGGCCTCCAAGCGCCCCGCCCCCAACTCCGGAACGGAGTTACCGGCCGCGCTTGCGCACAGCGTCGCCGCACCCTGCGCTTGCGCATTTCGCCAGTCCGCCCCAACCCCCAGGTTTTTCTGATGGGGGGAGGGGGCGCGTCTCGGCGAGTCACGATGATGGCGGCCACCATCCTGTGGTGAGGTAGCGGATTCTCGGCCGG